CCCCGCTCTCGTATTTTGCCTTCATTACGTCCACGCTAATCTTCAGCGGCACGACTGCTTCCCCAGACGCCGTCTCTCCGAGCGCCGAAAGCACCTCGCAAGCCTGGGTGAAAGGGCTTGCGAATGGGGCTGTCTCTTCCCAAGCAAAGAGGAGTATTATTTTGTTGCGAGCTCTTACCACCTTGCAAACCCGATCCGCTACTGTAGCCTCCGCAAGATCGTCGTACTCCTTCCGCTTCATACTGGTCCCTGAGGCGCCCGGTGACAGCACCACGCTGCCTCGCAGACACCTGCAGAAGCCCACACCAAGTCGCTCGGAACTTTCGCTCATGAAATGAGCCAACCGCCTCACGTCCAGTCCCGGTCGTCCAATCTCAGAGATCCTCACAATTTGATGTTGGGGTATGCGGCGTCGAGGGGCCAAAAGGGGCGCGACCCAGGTCGGGGTATCTCCCGTCGAGGGCCGAGAGTGAGTGGGGCGGACGATCTTGTTTCGTTCCGTAGCGATCCGGAAGACCCTTTCGGCGAATCTCAGATGGAGAGCCCCCGCCTCTTTGTCCTCCATGATGGCCGCAAAGTTCTGTGTGAGTACTTTTATGGTTGTGCGACTGAAAACGGGGGCACTCCGTCAGGAGGTGCCACACCGATTCTCCAACTTCGCTGTCGCACTCGCAGCCAGGGTTGTCTTTCAGGTGGAATCTATGCAGGTATTCCCCTATGCCCCCGTGACCAGTCAGCACCTGCACCTGTAAAGGCGTGGGTTTTGTCCTCCTAACGATCCGGTAGGCTCTGTCTACATCTGGCAGAAACACCTTCGTGACTGAGCCGGTGCTGGAGGCGTCATATCTGTCCTGCCATCTGTGAACGGATTCCTTTCTAATTATTTTTTTAATATATGAGAGTGGTACAGCATCGTAGTCCGGGTCTCTGGGCTCGGTGCCAGCGGCCTCCCTCGCCAGTTGGTCGGCCCTCTCGTTTCCCGCTGTTCCCACGTGAGCTCTCAGCCAGAAGAGACGGATCGTGTTTCCCTCCGTTCCAGTCCTCCTTATGTCCTCCCGGATGAGTCCCGCCAGCGGGTGGGAAGCCCTGGGGTTTCGGAGGAGCTCTAGTGATGACCTGGAGTCGCTCAGCACGTTTACTACCGGTCTGCCGCTCCCCGCTGGAAGGGAGATCGCCCGGTGCAGTGCGTATAATTCGGCCTGGAATACCGTGCAAGAGCGATCCAGGGTATAAGTATAGAAAGCGGTCTCCCCGCTGTCCTCCCACCAAGTCAGTGCAGCCCCCACTCTCCCCCCCATCCTACTGCCGTCTGTGAATATCCGCGGACCGGCGATGTGGTGTCGGGCTCCATGTTTTCGAGGAGTTCATAATTGGTCGCTATCGTCTGCGAGGGGTGAGGTCGACTCAGGTAGTGTGTCTTCTTTTCCAGCTCCCTCCCAGGCGGTACGTAGTCGGCTGATAGACCCCTCTTAGCCTGGTAAAGTGTCGCGGCCTCCTGGACTCTAATGTCCAGCGGAAGAAGGCCGCTTACAACCAACGCCGACGCAAGGGAGACCGTTCGGTAAGCCCTGCATATTTTCTGGGCGAAGCCCCTCTGCAGCGAGTCCAGCCGTTTTCTGGTCGTCCGGAGCCTCGTCGCGGGGCTCCACACCCCCGAGGCGTACATGACTATTGGCTCTATGACCGCAACGTAAATTATTCTTACTATCTCTCCGTTCAGGCCCCACGTCACCCTCGCAGCGCATGCCAGTTGCTTGTAGATGTCCGCAGCCTTTTTGCATACTGCGGCGACGTGCGACCCGAAGGAGAGTCTGTGGTCTATTATTAGTCCCAGTATTTTAATCTCTTTTACCAGGCTAAGGGGCGCCCCAGCCATGACCAGCCTGGGCGAGTCGTACACGAGTTTCCTGGTGATCACCATAGCGCCGGTCTTTTGCGGTGCGAACCTAAGCTTGTTCTGGTTGCCCCATTCGACAACAACTCCCAGGATCCTGTTTGCCGCTCTTTCGATTTCCCCACCGGAGTGGTTCGACAGCACTATTACCACGTCGTCGGCAAAAGCTTGGCAGTGCATTCCCTCTCCGGTTACTTTGTTCAGCAGCGAGTCAAGAATGATGTTCCAAAAGGTTGGACCGCAGATGGATCCTTGGACGCAGCCCTTGGTCGTCTCTTTTTCGTACTTCGCCCTAGCATAGTTCACACATATCCTCCGGTCCGCAAGGTAAGACTTCACCAGGCTCCGCAGGTTTGGTGGGCAGTTCTTGATTGACAACTGTGTCTTTAGCGCAGGCCACCATGCGTTGTCGAAAGCCCCCTCGATGTCCAGTGAGACTAGGAGGACTATTTTCTTGTTCTCGACTTCTCCTTTTACATGGTTCACCCAGTCGTGGAGGGCGTCCTCGGTGCTACGCTGCGGCATAAAGCCATATTGCTTGGGGTTAAGGGTGGGAAGGATGTGCCACTGGAGTCTCTCGGCCACGAGTTTCTCAACTATTTTGCCGAGGACAGACAGAAGTCCTATCGGTCTGTAGGACTTTGGATGAGTGTAGTCCTCCGTCCCCGGCTTTGGAATAATTACCACGTGGGCCGTTTTCCATTGCCCTGGGAAGCACGCAAGTGCCAGACACCTGTTTGCCATTGCTAGGAAAATTTCCCCCTCTCACCGGATCGTTGCCGCGCATATATCTGCCGTTAGACCATCCGGTCCCGGCGCCTTTCTGGGGTTGAGCGTCGCGAGGACCGCTTCCAGCTCCGACAAGGTGAAGGGCGGGTCGTCAGCCGATGTGTCGGTCACTGGTAATGACTCCTTTTCAGAGTCCTCCCGGACACGAGTGTGGTGAGGTTCATCAGTATCCACAGAGTCGTCAGGGTAAAAGGTTCTGGCCAGGAGCTCGGCGGATTCCTCGGGGGCGAGTGTCCTGCCCACCGAGTCCCTGAGTGACGTGTCTTCACGCCTCTTGGTGGTCCTCCTGATGACCCTGTAGATCTCGTCCCACATGCTCTCCCTGTCCTGCGCGGTACAGGGTGTCCTTTTTCAGCTCATGGAGCTCCTCCGACCACCAGGGAGGGGTTGGTTTCCCCTTGTAGTATCCGGCCCTTGGCATTGTTTCTTCGCAGCACTTTAATATGGCGTTTGTGTAGGCTGTTGTAATTGCCTCGAGCTCGCTCCCTGTTCTGGCTGCATTGATTTTGCCGGTTGTGAGGCCGTGCTCTCCCAGTTCCCTCCTGAGTGATTGCGCAAAATCCTGCCAGTTTGCCTTTTTGGTATTGAATATTCGGGTCGTGCACGGTTTTAGTGGTTCCAGCGCCGACGCCATGCGCAGGGAGAGGGTTATGGCGTTGTGGTCCGATGTTGTCAGATGCCTGTTGACCCTCCAGTCCTCGATCCTCCCTAACAGTGACACACTGCATGCTGTGACATCCACTATGCTAGTGTGCATTTTGCCATCCCTGGGAACCTCGAAGGTCGGGGTGTCTCCTGTATTAAGGATCTGAAGGTCCATCTCCGCCAGAAAGTCTGTGTATCTCGCTCCCCTCTCATTTTCGGTACTGCTACCCCACCAGTGGCTCCAGGCGTTCACGTCCCCGGCCACTATTATGTTGCTCGCGTTTAACCCACTACACGTCCTCTGGGTCCGTCTCAGATAAGGTTCCAGTTCCTCCCCGCCATCATAATATACCGAGACTACTCCGAGCCGCAGATTTTCCGCCCTCAGGAGAACAGCCGCCTCCGTTTGCGTCACCAGCTGGGGGTCGTGGATTACCTCCAGCCAGTTTCCGAAAACTACAATGGCCGCCTTGACCGGGCCTTGGCGATTCAGGGTGCACTGAACCACCCTCGTGCCCGGATACTCTCTGACGGTGCCATGTTTCCCCGTATAGGGCTCCTGAATTATTGCGACGGCTATTCCCCCGGCCTCGGCTGCTCGGAGCAGCTCGGCTGTGGCAATTTTTGATCGCTGTAGATTGGCCTGGATGAATTTGAGCCTGTTTATTGCCCCCGGTTTCGGCGGCGCGTTTCCCTGCACGTCGTCGTCCTTCTCAACAGTAGGTTATCCGTGATCTTGCTATCGCATCCCACTTCCGCCTGACCGCACACTCCGCACTGAAGGCATTGTGCCTGGTCTCACTGTCCGGTAGATGTTCCGCGGCGCAGTTTATGCAGGTCGGGGCTCTTCCGTCCTGTCGGCCCTGACACTTCTCCCATGTGTGGGGACCCCCGCAGTAGCGGTAGTAGTAGTAGCAGTAGTTCGGTACCGGAGTTTGAGTTGCGGTGTCATCCGCCGAAAGTCCCGTCGTAAGGTGCTTGTTCTGGGCCAGTATGTTGGCCACCATATCAGCGTCCTTATGGTAGGCCATGACGTCCCTCAGGACCAAAAGCGGGTTCCCGGCCTTCGCCATATCTACCTTCAGCTTGTTGTTAGCTTTAACTGTCTTCTGAACCAGTTCGAGGTCCTCTCGAGTGCCGCAGCTCAGAACCACTTTTTGTGTGTGTGCCCGGTGTGTTTGGGGTCCTTTGATGATATTATGAGGGTGTGATTCGGCCTTGGCGGAGGAGGAGCTGCGACCACCCTGGCGAAAGTCATTCTTCTGTCCACGGGTCTCCCGCTCACCGCCTGTGCCAGTTCCGCACTCAGGCTCGGAACCGCTGGAGGAGGAGTTTTTTCCCTCACCTCCTTCAGTCCCCGTAACTCCGCCACGACGATGTCTAGCCTCTCCCTTAGGGACTCGATCGCCTCCCTCGTGCCCTCCTGCGTCTCCGGAGGAGCAGGGCTCACGGTCGCTCGATTCTCCCGACAGAAGTTAAAGAGCTCAACGATCTCTGATCTAATGTTCGCGAGCTCTCCCCCCACGCCGGCCATGCCGTGGTCGTTTTGTTGTGAGCCGACGGCAGAGAGGATCTCGCGAAAAGCTTCCCTGGCTTTTAAGTGCTCCCTCTCGGCCTTCTCGGAGTCCCTGCGTAGTGCATCTAATTGAGATGACAGCGTTCTCAGGGCGGTCTAAATGTCTGAGAACTCTTTGTTGTTGCTGCCAGCTGGGTCCTCCTTGTGCCGAGCAAGGCAGTCGGCCAAGTATTCCTGCTTTTTCCCGAGGTCCGCGAGCGCTCGGCTGAGCTGGCCAATTTGCTCGAAGGGCTCCCGAGTTTCGCAGCCCAGCCAGTCCCGCGTTGCCCTGGACTCCTTCAGGGTTTCCCCGATTTCACCGCGCGCCTGACCTAGTTCTGTGGCAACGTTTTTAAACAGCTCGGCCATCTCTTTACTGTGAGCCCTCTCAGCCCTCACGAGCTCCCTGGCGTGCCTCGACCGTTCCTTCTCCAGGTTCTCCTTATGTCTGGACCTGGAGTCCGACAGCGCCAGGGCAATCTCGTAGAGCGTTTGGAGACTCTCCAGCGCTGTCTGTTTGCAGTCCCTCCTAATGTTGCCCGACGACTCCAGGGCTTCCTTTCCCCTAAGGAGCGCCTCGTTGGCCTCTTTTGTGGCCGCGTCCATTTCCACTCCGAGCCGCCTCCCGGAGGTCAGGAGCAGGCTTTGTCTCCTTTTGTCCCCGAGGACAGGCGAAGCCGGCAGGGAAACGACCGACTCGTCGTCGGAGATGACAGGCATGGGAGAGAGGTCATCCTGCAGCCAGTTATATATTTTCTGCAGCGTCTGGTCGTTTGGGGTAACGACCGACGCTTCCGAGACGGCCGGCTCCCCCTCGCCGCACACTTCCCCCCGCCCGGGTTCAGCCGTGCAGGCCGTAACGTCGCTATCCCTAGATGATGTTGGCGGCACCTGCCCCTCCCGCTCCGCGGTGTTACTTCCTGATGCCTTGGTTTCAGTAAGCAATGCTGATTCAGCCGAGCCGGAGGGCTGCGTATGCTGCTCTGGGTCCTTGGCTCTTACTGTTTTCGTGAGGACCTTTTCACGGTGCATTCGAGATGCCTTCACGTGTGTTGTAGGTGGGGCGGAGTTTCTGACTCACAGTCTTGTACGGGCGCCCCCACGGATCTCGATCCAGGCTCTCGAGCCACTCTTTCCTCTCGACCTCTCCTGTGGAACATCGGGTACGACTGGGCCCTACGAGGGCGTCTCCCCCCCGGGCTGGGTGTAATCTGCTACGCGGACGACACCTTACTCACGGCCCGGGGGGCTAACTTCCAGGAGGCGGCGCGCCTGGCCGCCACGGGAGTTTCCCAGGTGGTCGGGCGCATTGAGGCGTTGGGATTACGGGTGGCCCTGGATAAGACGGAGGCCCTATTATTTCATGGGCCCCGTCGAGGTCCGCCCGCCGGCGCCTCAATCGAGGTCGGCTCGGTCCTCGTACCGGTCCGGGCCCAGATGAGGTACCTGGGTCTGGTCCTAGACGGTAGGTGGCTCTTCGACGAGCACTTCCGACAGCTTGGTCCGAAGCTGCCTCCGCCCTAGGGCGACTTTTGTCCACTTTTGAGCCACCATGGTGAGATGGTCGTTCCGGCTGGAGACTCCACGCGCTGGCTTCGCCGCCGTGGAGGCTCTCCAGCCGGTCATCGCCGCACCGCCGCCATCGAGTGGGCAGGGCGGCAGCACGGGACCCTTTCCTTCCGGCTGACGCAGGTGCTTTCCGGGCACGGTTGCTTCGGAAAGTACCTGTACTCGGTCGCTAGGAGGGAATCGAGTCCCGCCTGCCACCACTGCGACTGCAGTGAGGATTCGGCCCAGCACACGCTGGCGGTTTGCCCCGCATGGGCGACGCAGCGCCGGGCCCTCACTGCAGTCATCGGAGCAGATCTCTCGCTACCGGCCGTAATTCGCTCCATGGCCGGTAGCGACGGTTGTTTTACCGCGGTCGCAACCTTCTGCGAGGAGGTAATCTCGCAGAAGGAGGCGGCGGAGAAGGCCCGGGAGGACGACCTCCACTCGGACCTGATCCGCCGCCGGCGAACCGGGCGGCGGAGGCGCGCTTACCTGCGCCTCATGCCGCCCTGAGTGTGGCCGCGGGTGGACGGGATGGGTTCTCCCCTCCACCCGCATTAGTTGGCCAGCCGCGAGGGGGCGGCGTCCGCGTGTGCCGGACGTCGCCTAAAGAGAGGAAAGATCAGAGACGGAGCCCGCACCAGGAGCGGGCCGGCGCTGGGAGGGGTCCAGAAGGAGATAGCTACCTGGACCTCTCCTAAACTGGAAGCGCAAAGAGGGCACACCGTGTGGTTTTAGTCGGTTCGAGTCCGACACACCGCCCCGCCGAACGAGAGCCCCGGCGGGGTGACGGTCCGAGGGGATTTCCACACGTAAAAAAAAAAAAAAAAAAAAAAGGTTAGGTTGGGGTGCGTGCAGAAAACCTCCTCGTGTGCCTGACGGCTGCTAGTTCCTCATGAATACGTTCGGGGGAAGGAGTAGTTGTCTGGCCGGTGCACCCTGGGTACGGGCAATACTCTCTCCATGTTGGAGGGGCTATTGTCTGTGGCGAATTTCTGCGAGTGGGGAGCACATTTGCTCCACGACGGTTGCTCCACGTGTCCCTCTGATTGCAGAGGGCTCTGTGGAGGAACGTCGGAGATGGGGTCGCTCCTGTCCGATCGACAGTCGTCGATTGGCAAAGGACGTGGCCAACGCCGCTGCGGTGCAGGCGCACTGATGCGGTAGTTGCTCTCTCTCCACGGATCACTCCTGGCGGGAGAGCTTCCGGCGGGCCGGCCGTCGCATAGGCCGTCCAGCATACGCCCAACTGCTGTCAATTCTTGACGCAGTTGGGCGTATGCTGGACGGCCGTCTGGCCGGTCTGGAGGCGAGACTGCCTCCTGCGCCGGTCGTGCGCCCCCCGCTCGCGTCGTCACAGCGGCCTGGGGCCGCGGCTCCGACTGCGCTCCCCGTAGTGGGAGGCCGCGTGTCCTACGCGGCGGCGGCGTCGGCCCCGACTCCACCGGCTCCCCAGGGGCCGAGGAAGGGGGCCAAGGCACCGGCCCGGGCGCCAGCCAAGGCGCCGGCCCAGGCACCGGCCAAGGCGCCGGCCCAGGCACCGGCCAAGGCGCCGGCCCAGGCACCGGCCAAGAGTAAAGCGGCGAAGAGGAGCGGAGTGGCTTTCCCTCCGCTCCCCACTCCGACATCCCTGCCGGGCCCCTCCGCACCTGCCCCCTCCAACGAGGGTTGGCAGGAGGCGAGGGGCTCAAAGAAGTCCCGAAGGCGGGCTAGAAGGGCTGCCCAAAAAGCGGCCCAAGCCCAGCCTTCACCACCGGTGACAGCGGCCTCGACTAAGAGGCCGCGGAAGCTGCAGCCGCCCAAAACCGCGGCTGTAGTAGTGACGCTGTCGCCGGAGGCGGCCAGTGGCGGGCTCTCGTATGCGGCCCTCTTCAAGGGGGCCAGGCCCGGTCTCGCCACTGAGTTCGGGGCGGCGGGGATGAGGCTGCGCCGCGCCCAGACGGGAGCTCGAGTATTCGAGTTCCCTGGGGCTGAAGGCGCGGCGACGGCCGATAAATTCGCCGAGAAGCTGCGGGGGATTTTCGCCAGCACGGACGGTGTGAAGATCGCCAGGCCCACCAAATGCGCAGAACTGCGCATCTCGGGCCTGGACGACTCCATAACGTCGGAGGATGTCCGCGATGCAGTCATGGAGAAGACTGGGTGCACCGCGGACACCATCAGAGTCGGCACCGTCCGTCCGGGTCCGGGAGGCCTCGGTGCGGTGTGGGTGAGTTGTCCCGTGGCGGCGGCCAAAGCGTTGGGCGACGCCGGAAGCATGCTCGTCGGCTTCGTGAATGCCAGAATCACGGTTCTGGCCGCGAGGCCGATGAGGTGCTTCAAGTGCCTAGCCGCGGGACACACTCGCACCAAGTGTGAGAGTTGCTTTGACTGCAGCGGTTTATGCTTCCGCTGCGGTCAACCCGGGCACAAGGCGGCAGAGTGCTCTGCTGCCCCTCACTGCCCCGTGTGTGCGGCGGCTAAAAAAGCCCGCCAATCACCAGATGGGGCAGGGGGGCTGCAAGCCTCCCCGCGCTTCTCGGCAAACGCCGGGGTCTAGCCTGCCGACCCAGGCTACCCCCGACGTCAATATTGCGTCGACGCCGACGCCCATGGAGGAGGTTGTAGAGACGATCCAGTAATGGATCAAGTCTCCAACCTCCTGGTCCAGACGAATCTGAACCACTGTGCTGCGGCGCAGGATCTCTTCCTGCAAACCATGGCACAGTGGTCGATAGGTGTTGCCGTAGTCGCGGAGCCCTATTTTGTCCCTCCCCGTCCAAACTGGATGGGTGACCGGGACGGCTCCGTGGCAGTCGTCGGCTCCACGGCGGCTCATTCCCCGCCCTTGTCGCTAAGAGACAAGGGTACTGGATATGTTGCCGCCGATTGGGGGGGAATCACCATTTATGGTGTATATTTCTCCCCCAACCGGAGCTTGATCGACTTCGAGGTCTTCCTTAACAACTTGGAGGCCTCGATGCGGCGACTAGTGTCTGGGCACGTCCTCGTGCTGGGGGACTTCAACGCAAAGTCCATTGCGTGGGGTTCCCCTGCGACGGACGCCAGGGGCGAAGCCGTCGAGGAGTGGGCGGCGTCGGTGGGCCTCTGTTTGCTGAACAGGGGCTCCACCAACACGTGCGTGCGACAGCAGGGGGGGGTCGATAGTGGACCTTTCGTTCGCTACCCCTGCAGTCGCCGCACGAGTAAGGAACTGGTGTGTCCTGGAAGAGGTCGAGACGCTCTCGGATCATTTGTACATCCGATTCGAGCTCTCCCGGTCCCAGGACCCCAGTAGGGGTCACGCGGCGCGGCGCCCTTCCCGCTTCCCGCGGTGGGCTATCGCCAAGCTCGACAGGGACCTACTAGAGGAGGCGGCCATTATTTACTCTTGGCTGTCTCCGCAGGCCCCGACCGAGGAGGTCGACATGGGGGCTGGTCGCTTCTGCAATGCGATTACGCAGATTTGCGATGCGGCCATGCCCCGCGTTCGTGGTTGTCGGCCTCCAAGGAAGGAGGTCTACTGGTGGTCCCAGGAGTTAGCGGACCTCCGTGCGGCCTGTGTACGTGCCCGGAGGTCCCTCACCCGTAGTCGGCGACGTCACCGCGGGGTCGGTGAGGAGGTGGACCGGCTTCATGAGGAGTACCGAGAAGCTCGGAAAACTCTGAGGCTGGCCATCTGCCGCGCCAAGGATGCGTGTAGAGAGGAGATGCTGGAGAGTCTCGAGCGTGACCCCTGGGGTCGCCCTTATCGTGCGGTGCGTCAAAAGCTCCGCACGTCGGGCCCCCCCCTTACGGAGACTCTCCAGCCCAGCTTCCTGCAGGAAGTGGTCGAGGGCCTATTCCCGCAGCGGGCGGAGCACACACCCCCGTCGATGGCTGCATCAGCCGGAGACGACGGGGGCAGCGAGGTTGATGTTCCGCCCGTCAGGGAATCGGAGTTGGGGGCGGCTGTTCTACGGATTCGATCCAAGAACACTGCCCCCGGGCCGGACGGGGTTCCAGCCCGAGTGATGGCCCGAGCCCTCGACTACATGTCGGACCACCTCAGGGAAGTGTTGGACGCTAGCCTGGCGTCCGGACGCTTCCCTGAGCGCTGGAAATGCGGGAAGCTGGTCCTGCTGCAGAAGCCGGGACGGCCTGCCGAATCGGTCGCGGCCTATAGGCCTATCGTGTTGCTGGACGAGGCGGGCAAACTTTTTGAGAGGGTGCTCTCTGCCCGCATCGTCCGGCACCTTTGCGAGGTTGGCCCCGATCTGTCGGACGCCCAATTCGGTTTCCGAGAGGGACGTTCGACGATCGATGCCGTGATGCGCCTTAGGGCCGTGACCGAGGAGGCCGTGAGCTGCGGCGGAGTGGTGTTGGCGGTGTCCTTGGACATCGCCAACGCCTTCAATAGTCTGCCATTCAGCTGCATCAGGGAAGCGCTCCGCTACCACGGAGTGCCGGAGTACCTGAGGCGGCTGGTGGCAGACTATCTTGAGGAGCGAACCGTCATGTAC